GGTGATGTGTAACAGTCTGTGTAGTGAGAGAGTCAATATGATGGAGTGACCTCCGGTGGCGATCGGATGGAAGTCCATGGACAGGATTCGTGACACTATCAGGTTTTGTCACAATGATATTCAGTTTAGTTTGGTTTTCTGTCCTTGTGTTCATTTCCTATCTGTGTGTCTGATGTGTTGCTATGTTTTTTTATTTGATTGTAGTATCCTGTTCAGCTGTGTTCGCCTCATCAACCTGTGTATTTTAGTTCCTCTGTTTAAATCCTCATTTGTTCGGTATCGTCAGTGTTACGTAGTTGTTCTACTTTGCCTGCCTGCCTTTTTTGAGTTTGTTCTGTTAATCTGTACTATTAAAACTATTTAGTAGCTTTATCTTCATCGTCGTGCTTTGGACTACCATGATTTGTGACAGCTTTAACCTTCCCTGTGTTTTGAAACTTACCTTGTTGATCTCTTGTATATTAAGGTGAATGGGGAAAAAAAACTATTTTGATATATTCCTTCTTTGATTGCTTGATATACTTACCTGTGAATATTATTTCTATGCTTCTACTGTTGGACCTCTATTGTATTTGCTCTATACTGTTGTGTGCGAGCTGCATGCTCACCCTTTGTATACTTACATTTGTTCTCAGTCAATCTGGGTTCAATCCTTGCTTCTGTGGTGGTTTGTCATAACATCCACAAGGGCATGTGCATTAACTGTTTATGGTTCATTGAAAAAGTATGAAAAATATAGTTTAAGCCATTTCCAATAAAGATATATATGTATATGAAAGTGGGATTCTCTGAGTGGGATTCTATTCCTCACTGGAAAACATGCACATAAATGCAAAAAATGGTGGAATTCATCCAATGTCTACTCCAGCCAATTAGAATTTAGAACAAACAGAGAGTGTCAAATGTTAAAATTCGATCTGTACTGTTTTGTATTACTTCATAAAAAAGAGAGAGAGAGAGAGAGAAGAATTCGGTAAAATTGTATTTTGTTCTCACTTTTACCCATGTTTAATTCTATAGAGACAAGGGTTTTAATATGGTATTTGTATACTCCTCATCAGGCACACAGTAGGATGAAGCATGTGGCAGAACATTATGAAGATGGACACATTCATCCACAGTATTCTCATCATTCGCATCATGGACAGCAGCGTGAATTGATCTCCCCCCCACCAGAGCAGGTCGCTGACCTAAACAAACAAACAAACACACACACACACACACACACACACACACACACACATGTTGGTATTGGTGGTTTACGGGGACTCTCCATTGGCATAATGGTTTTTATACTGTACAAACTGTATTTTGTATTGCCCTACACCAACCCTACACCTAAACCTACCCCTCACAAAAAACTTTGTCCATTTTTAGATTTTCACAAAAAAAAACACCATTTAGTATGTTTTTTAATCCTTTTGAATTACGGGGACACAGATAGTGTCCTCATAAACCACCTTCATATTGTAATACCTGTGTCATACCCATGTGATTATACAAATGTGTGTCCTCATAAAGCACCCAAACCAGTGCACACACACACACAAAAACACCCAAGCCTACTCACAAGATATTGTCTGTGTTGTACTTGTGTAAACACACACACACACACACATTTTTAAACAAAGTATTTTTTGTCAGGTTATAGTAACTACATTAAGAAACTTCAAATAGTCTTCTAAAAGCTTTCAAGTAATAGTGATAGAAATAGCTCAAAAAGTGCTGTGGTGCCATGATAGATGATTTTAAATGATTTGTACTATATGACAAAAAGTATGTGGACAATCCTTTCTAATAGACATGTTTATTCCAACAATTCCAGTAAAACGGCTCTTAACTCTATGCCATAGAATGTAATTTTAGAAAATGGTGTGCTTCATTGTGGTTGTTTCTGGCAATACTCTTGTGGACAATGTGGGATCCATAAAGAATTAATTCAATAACTTGAATGAGGAACTGTGTAGTTCTATAGTAATGTGATGTGTGTTTGTTTTAGGATGATGAGGACGGCATATGGGCATGACAAAACAGAAACTAGTTTTGCACTGAAAGGTAAGTGATGCACTTATGTCCTGCTAGAAGCAAACATGGGAGATTAATTATAAAAGCATTATAAAAGTTTAATCTGCAAAATCCACACAGTTAACAAATTCACAAAATAATGTGTTTGACAATATGTATCAGCTCGCATATCATTAAATTGCTCTGATCATGAATGCTAATACAAAAATTCAGAGGTGTGTGAAATCTTTTCAGAATATCATTTAGCAAATTGTTATTTGGGTTGAATAGCAACATTCGGTTATGTCAATTTCATATGGGTTTATAGAATAGTGTTTTTCAATTTATAAGTAAATTAAGATCAATTGTGGTTAACTTTACATGAAGATACTTTCACAATCACACAACATAACACTCAGAACCGCCCTGCAAGATAAAGAAATTGGGAAGGCATTGATTTTAGGTGTTTCATGCACATTGTATATTAACATTGTTTTTTTGTTTTGTTTTTTGTAGTCAAGACTTTTTGTAGCCACGTTATGTGGCTATACAGGCTATACAGAAGTAGAGTATATACAGTAGTGGCTTAGCACAATTAGTGTTGTCTGTCTTGCCTATTTTTAAGTATACTTAAAAGTTAATATCTAATCAAATGATAAGACTACAAGTCATAAAAGTAATGCATGCTGTTCTGATATTTTCAAAGTTAAGAAAATAATTGTACTGATCTGATAATAAAGATACAATACAATTTTAATTACATTTTTGAGTAAAGCCCAGGGCAAAGACTTCGGTTTTCCTAGGCCGGCCATCACGTTTGGCTATTCATGTATATAAAGAGAATATCCATGCAGAAAAATCCATAGGAAAAACAATTAATAATAAAATAAAATAATAAAAATGAAGTCCAACAGTAATGTTCTTATCTGTCACTTTTTGCTATAAAAAATATTTATTTATTCATTTATTATTATTATTTTTAAAATAGGTATGTTACTAATCTAATCTGAAGTTTAGCTTTTATTTTTCTATATTCTTCTTAGAGAACGTCTCGGTTACATACGTAACTCTCGTTTCCCGATGGAGGTAACGGAAACGTTATGTCGTTATCGTCATTATGGGGATTCACTTGGGAGCCCCAATCATCTCTGACTTTAAGAGAAAATGCCAATTAAATTTTCCTAGTGGATTTTGCATACCTGAGCCACTCCCCGTGCATACAGGTATAAATAGGCGACAGGTGCATCCACTCTTCAGGTTTTACGCTGAGGAGCTGAGAACTTGTCCCTGGCTGCCAGCGATGGTTCGAGGTTGTGGCAAGGGGACATAACGTCTCCGTTCCCTCCATCAGGGAACGAGGGTTACGTACATAACAGAGACGTTCCCTATCTATCGGTCACTACAAGTTATGTCGTGATCGATATTATGGGGCCCTGGAAAGCGCCACAACCTGAACCCCGTCACAACCCCATGACGTAGCCAAAGTTGGCAAGTGACCGCGTGTCAGACAAACGCTACGCAAAGGTTGTAACCTTCCCACCGCCCCCAACGCAAATTCGCTGACCTTGGTACCCGCAGGGACCACAGGTGAACACAACTCTGCTGAAGATAGCCAAGCTGCTGTTCCTTTTCCCACAGAAATTTCTTAACAGGAGGAATTTTGACCTTCAACGAAAGATTTGCTTCAAGTCTTTCCGATTTGTAGTTTACAGCTTAGGCAGAAAAGATGAGGAAGCGAGACTTCCGGAGAAGGGCGCTACGGAGGCCACACCTACCCATAGGGAGGTAACATGTGGAGATTCTCATATGGACTGACCCATGCCTGGGGCAGTACTACAAATGGAATGGGTCTCTGGGGCAGGTCCTACCTAAGAGTACGGATGGAACAACTGCCAGCAGAGACTGACAGAACACTCTGTCAAAGGGAAGACACAGGTTTACAGAGAGGGAAACCTTAGCATGGAAGAATACTCATATTGAATTGCCCACAGGGAATCAAGCCATATGGACACCTAGCCCAGTACAGGGGCTGACCGGAGACCCGGGCAAGCTAACACCGATACTGGGCCTGGTGTCAGACTGCTCCGCCAAGTCTGACTGCCGGGGGTGCTGGAGGATACTCCGCCAAGGTTCGCCGTCCGTGGAACTTACTGGAGGAGGAGAAAAGCGCTTGCATCCCCGGGTGAGGGGGAATGGCGCAACAAGCGTGACACCGGCCAGTTCTACCTGCCGATTACCTGTTACCCAACACACATGAACAAAAAGGCTTAACGCGGAGACTGTAGAATCTCGTGAAGGTGTTCTGTATCGCCCAGCCCGCAGCTCTACAGATGTCTGCCAGAGAGGTGCCGTGCGCCATTGGTACGGACGGATAGACATTGGGGATTGGTACGCCAAGGCGATGGCATCCACTATCCAGTGGGCCAACCTCAGCCTGGAGACAGCCTTCCCTTTCTGCTGACCTCTGTAGCAGACAAAGAGCTGCTCAGAGCTTCTAAAGCTCTGGGTGCAGTCCACGTATATGCGCAGTGCTCTTACGGGACACAGCAATGCAAGGGCTGGATTTGCCTCCTCCGAGGTTCAGGTTCACCACCTGATCTCGGAAGGGAGTGGTGGGAACCTTGGGCACGTATACAGGCCGGGTCTTAGGACAACGTGAGAGTAGGCTGGCCCGAACACAAGGGACTCTTCGCTTACAAAATGCTTTGAGGTCCCCGACCCTCTTGATGGAAGTGAGCACGGTCAGGAGTGCTGTCTTAGCAGACAGGAAATTAAGCTCGACTGAATCCAGCGGCTCAAAGGGACCCCTCTGAAGTGCCAGGACGATAGAGAGGTCCCAGGAGGGCACCAGGGGTGGCTTAGGAGGATTTAACCTTCTGGCACTCCTCAGGAACCTGACAATGAGATCGTGCTTTCGCAGGGACCGGCCGTCCACTGCATCGTGATGTGCTGCGATGGCAGCCACATACACTTTCATGGTGGAGGGTGACAGTCTACGCTCCAACCTTTATTGCAGGAAAGAAAGCACTACTCCAATCATGCATCTTCGGGGGTCTTCTCGGCGAGAAGAACACAAGTTCATGAACAGACTCCATTTCAGAGCATAGGCTTGCCTCGTAGAGGGAGCTCTAGCCTGAGTGATCGTGTTAACCACCGCAGGTGACAGATCAGCTAGGTCTGCTGCATCCCGTCCAGGAGCCACACGTGGAGGTTCCAAAGGTCTGGACGCGGGTGCCAATTGGTGCCGAGCCCCTGAGAGAGGAGATCTTGTCTCAGGGGGATGCGCCAGGGCGGGGCTGTTGCGAGGAGCATGAGTTCTGGAAACCAGGTCCTGGTGGGCCAGAAAGGCACAACCATTAAGACCTGCTCCTCGTCTTCCCTGACCTTGCACAGTGCCTGTGCGAGAAGGTTCACTGGGGCAAACGCATACTTGAGCCCGAGGCCAGCTATGTGCCAGTGCGTCCATGCCGAGGGGGGCCTCGGTCAGGGAGTAGTACAGCTGGCAGTGGGAGGACTCGCGGGAAGCAAACAGGTCCACCTGGGCTTCCCCGAATCGACTCCAGATCAGCTGGATCGTCTCGGGATGGAGTCGCCATTCTCTGGGGAACGTGAGCTGTCGTGAGAGCACATCGGCAGCACGATTGAGTTCCCCCGGAATGTGGGTCTGACTCCAGAGGAGGAGATGGCGGGCGAGCTGTGACATGCAACGTGATCGTAGACCTCCCTGCTGGTTGATGCGCGAAACCGCCGCAGTATTGTCCGTGTGGACCAACACGTGCTTGTCTTGCAGCAGTGGCCGGAACTGCCAACAGCTCTAGGCAATTGATGTGCCAAAGCAGTCGGGGCCCGGTCCAGAGCCCAGAGGCTGCCTGCCCATTGCATGTAGCACCCCAGCCCGTACTGGGGGCATCCATCGTGCCAACGACATGCCGGGACACTTGTCCTAAGGGCATCTCGGCCCGTAGAAAAGCAAGGTCCGACCAGGGACTGAATAGGCGGCGACACGTTGGTGTGATGGTGACACAATGTGTACCGTGGCACCATGCCCACCTCGGGACTCGGGAGTGTAGCCAGTGCTGAAGTGGTCTCATATGGAGCAATCCGAGCGGCGTGAATGCGGCTGCAGATGCCATATGCCCCAGGAGCCTCTGAAAGTGTTTCAGTGTTACCACCGGAGCCCCAGGTCCCTGTGATCACACAACTGATCTCGCTACCGGGCCATAATGAGCCAGTCGTCGATATAGTTGAGGATCCTGATGCCCACTTCCCGTAATGGGGCAAGGGCGCCCTCCGCAACCTTCGTAAAAACGCGGGGGGACAGGGACAACCCAAAGGAGAGGACCCTGTACTGCCATGCACGACCCTCAAACGCAAAAAGTAGAAACGGCCTATGTCGAGGGAGAATCGAGACATGAAAGTAAGCATCCTTCAGGTCGACCGTTGCAAACCAATCCTGGGGCTGGATGCATCTGATGATGCTCTTCTGCGTCGACATCTTGAACGGATGCTTGTGAAGGGCCCGATTCAAGACTCGCAGATCCAGGATTGGCTGGAGGCCACCGCCCTTTTTGGGTACGATGAAGTAAGGGCAGTAAAACCCCTGCTTCATCTCGGCTGGAGGGACTGGCTCGATTGCATCCTTTGCCAGGAGGACAGCAGTCTCCTCGTGCAAGACAAGTGCATCTTAGACTGCCACCGAAGTCTCGAGAATGCCGCTGAACCTGGGAGGTTGCCTGGCGAACTGAATCGCATAGCCGAGTCGGATTGTGCGAATGAGCCAACGGGACATGTTGGGCAGCGCAAGCTACGCCCCCAAACTCCGTACGAGTGGCCCCAAAGGAACAATCGACGCACCCGCAGTGGTGCAGCGGAGGGGAGTCGAACTGGATAGGCCAGAAGGCATCGCGTTCTGACTGATCACAGCAGAACTTCCCGTGTCCCCGGAGGGACTGGCCAGAGCTGCGTGGAGAGGCAACGCGTCTCCCAACCGCAGCTTCTTGGCTGCTGGCAAAGGGGGGCATC